TGTGTATGTGGTAGAAGTAATCTTTAAAACAAGTTTCTTACCAATTAAACATAGTTTTAACAACATTTCTTGATACATTTTGGTATATTCATTAATTTATTTCTTAAATATAATATTCTTACATAATTGGCATATTTTTATGTATTAGCACTGTAGGAATTGTTTTAATTAATATTACAGTATGATTTCTTTTTATATTTAATATCCATAATCTTTTTTACCGACATCAATTGACACAGACTGAAAACGAACTGTAGATAAACGTGGTAGCTTCATCCTGCCGGTATCATGCTTTATTTTGAATCTGCTATCACGTTTTTCTTTACCGATACGGAAAATTTCGCCCCTTTGAAGGTGTTGCATCAATTCCTCGTCGGTTTGGCGTTGAAAGCAGTAGGTTTTGCAGAAACTCGGCCGCCTCAATTCTGACGGGGGCGTGAGACATCTCCCCGCTCATCTCTGCATATATACATGTTTGGCAAATGTTGACATTTCTCTTTCAGTCACACCTGATACTCAGACAATCATTATTTTTTAAATATCTGACGTTCCGGTCTACTAAATGTTAAATTGAAATAAGTTTTTTGTGTTCTGTCCCACTTTAAAAATATTTACATGCTCTTTTATAATAGTGTTACGAGGCTTCCCGAGTTTCCTCAAAATAGAGAGGCGCGCATTACATTAAGTCTGTCAGTTAACGGAAAATAAATATTGAATTCAAAGCCACGATAGTATCATCTGATTAAACCGGAAAAATAACGAGTGGAGCAATTATCGAGGAATGTTTTGGCTTATTCGCACGCCTTCCGCACCGAACTGCTCTCTGGACCAAAACACGAGGCCTACTCATCCGTCAACATAGCGACTTTCTGAGCACGTCCGGTCAAGCCCTAGCAACAAAATCCAAAAACAAGGAAATTGGACACTGTCCTCGCGGGCATCTCAAGGATAAGATCTCGTATAAAAATGGCACCGAAAGAGAGCAGAGTTCAGTCGCAAAGAGCTAGTCTGAGGGGCAAGTCTGAGGCGATCAGTTAGTTCACACTCCGTGTGACTGAGATTCTCTGAAGAGCTGACCATACTGTAGTAACAGTTGTGCGTTTCGGTACTGCGACACCCACGAGTCAACAGTGAGAAGAACGACGGCGCTGCGAATTCCGGACCAGCGGGAGAATCTTAGCCAACCCTAGTGCACGCCCCGGATTGAAGGCGTTCACGTGCAGTTCATCGCAACCGGCAGGACGTAGGAGAGACGTCACCGGAAGTAAAGGCTTCTGCGAAGCCAAGGTACAGGTCCTCTTCGAAGAGTTCCACTCTTTCACTCGTTCATCACTCTATTTCGAACCCTATTCCAAATTACTAACCCGCAACAGAATTCGGTATTCACCTTCCGGTAACGATTATCAAATTCTAACTCCTCACAGTATAAATTGCAACTCATTAGCTGCCCTTGCTGAGTAAGGCAAAGCGCACCTTGCAAGCAAAGAATCTCACATCAGCATTCCGCAATTGATACGCGGACATATATCGTTACACTTCCGCGAGCCGCTAGCGCGCGGCCTCCAATGTCCTTGTCTCGTCTCACGACGATCCGCTTAGCACAGTATATCTTTTGCATACCTTACCACAATGAACATTGTACCCCTTGCATCATAAGTAGAACTGTTTCATTCAATATAAAACGACGACTTGATTCTCACGAAACCTTAAAACCCTCCTGTGTCCTCATTGCAACTTTCCAACCACCCTCTGAGGACCAAAAACCTATCGATCCCACTAAAGAGGGTGACATAGCCGCTCGGATTATCCTCTCCATATTTCTCAAATCATAAACTGGTTAAGCGTGCGTACGAGTTAATATCTCTACAAACAGTATACCGCTCGGAAGAATCTGCAAAATTCCTCCGGCCTTGCTAGACACTCGGCCGCCACGTAACAACAGAATACCAAAGTTCTATCAATAACAGTACCATTCCCGAAAAGAGTATTTACATATTTTATTAAACGCAGGATCGCATGGAACGCCATGGTAGACATATGTGGTCAAATGTCGATGATTAGAATTTCTTTTATGTTGCACACCGGCGTTCGTCGATGGTTTCCTCCTGCCCGTAATGCCCTCTCCGACCGCGCATCATACTACCGGTGGGAGCAGGGTGGAATTTGAATCGCCCGAGGGGCAGAATGGATGTCCTAAAGAAAATTAGTAATTATAAACAATAACAATAAATGAAAATTATTTAAGTACCTTTGCGGAGTGTCCCTGACCCACTTAACGTAGTTTTTGTTAAATGATTATTTACAGAATTTTATAAAGAATATAATAGAATATGTTCCACTAAATGTTGAGTTTCTTAGTGATTCAATTGTTCCATTCACTGAACCGAAGTTAGAATGTTATCTTAGCTTAAAAAAATAGTTTTAATATATGTACAGTGAAATGCCGTCGAAAAATTTACAATGCATCCACTTTCGGACATAGAAACGAAATCGTGATTTCATGTCTCTTATACATTTACGTTCTACACCATTCTTCCTATTCCTCGAATAAATGGACACCTGTAAATCATTAAATCAGCATGTAAATGAACTCCCGTAAACATAAGAAAGACTTTTCTTATCCGAGTTTATTATAAACGCAAATCTGAGTAACTTTTATGAACTGAATTCATTCGAAATAGGTATCTAAAACGTAAAACTCCATTTTCTATTTCGTATTTGAAATAAGAACAATAAACTATTTCGGATTTCCAATTTTAAAAAGATTTGGAATCTATTTCCATTTGAAATTAAATACTTCCGGAGAAATGAGAAAATAAGATAAGAATCGATCAGAATGATTTTTGTTCAATCAACTAAATCAACCATCGAAAAAGTTAAACAGCACGCATAACTCGAAATAGCCACTTTCGCGAAAACTGAAGAAATTTAGTTGTTTACTGGCATTTTAAATACAAATATGAGTCATAAAATTACGTGTCCGAAAAAGGCATGGACAACGAAGGGTTAACATTACGAGTAGATGGCACAGTTAATTCGAGACGAT